AGAGCCAATCTTAAGAAATGGGGCTACATATGAAGTCCATGACATGTGAGTGTGGAGAAGAGCAAACCACAGACCACTTACTACAATGCAATCTGGGCCCTGCCACATGCACAATGGAGGACACCAGAGGCATTCCAAGTAGCCAGCTTCTGTTCAAAGAAAATTTAGCATCATGCCAAGTTTTTAACTTTGTTTGTGTTTTTTTATATACATTATATCTGTATGCTCGATTTGTTTCTGATACAATAAACAAAATTCTGAAATCAATGTGGCATTGGGACAATAGGTGTAGAATGGCTACTTTGTGGAAACTGGTTTAAATGGAGTGGAACACATTCATTGTATCTGCTTTCAAAACAAGCATTACACCATTTGTGTCCTGTACATTTTGCCAACAAAATCAGGATGGCATGTTTCCCTGACCTCACAAAAACCCAAAGAGCAATAAAATAAAATAAAATGATTAATATACTGATGTCATGAACAGATATTTTGATATTGATTTTTCTCACAATCCTCTCTGTTCTTTCTTTGAAAATATAATACTTGGTGTTTGCAGGGGCAGCCCCCCCTTTTTTTAAACTTTAACTTTCTTTGGCAGAAAAAATATAAATTTACTTCTTCCAGATTTAGCTATTTTTAAATAGTTCTAACAGAAAAGCTGGTTTTTAAGATTGTTATTCATTTATTTTATATGTTAACATTGTATTTCTTGTAAGCTGCCTTGTGGATACATTGGGGAGGTAGAATGTTGGTGTAAAAATCATTCCAAAAGCAACATTGAAAAAGAATTGATCCCCTTGTTTTGTTTTTTGAAGCTGTTAGTTTGATGCACTGTTGTCAAAATTATGAAATCTCAGGTCTAGAAGAAAGGTGGGTCCTCCACACATATTAAGTTCTCCTTTGTCTTATATCATGGAATTACGAAAAGGCTGATACATTTCTCATAGTCATGTGAAGTCCACTGACTGGAAGTAGTTCAGTGGGTGACAAGTGAACTGGAGTATCAAAGAAAGTTGAAGACAATAATGGTTAGAAATACCAAATTTCCAAATGCAAGCTTTTTAATCCCATAAGAGCTGCTTTTTATTGAGGATCCTTAAACTAATTCTAAAATCCTAAGCATGGGAGGAAACAAGTCTACTGAACACAATTGTATTTACTTCTGAGTAGACATGCATACGATAGTACCATGTTTCTCCCTTGTCCAGGATGGGATAGGATAACGATTACAACTGGAGGATATCGCCCCTCCCCAATCCAAGGACTTTTAGCTACAGTAGCAGAAGCCTTCCAAGTTTATGGCATCCCTAGAGAGGAGCCATTCAGACAGAAGAATACATGTCTTAACTCCCAGAATGCCATAAACAGCTGAGAGGCTCAATCAGACCCCAGTACTCTGCCTTTTCTTCCTCCCATGTCATTAATTTGACACCCTCAACTCTTGGTGAGAATTTAGAATGCTTGGTCATAAAATTGTTGTGCAAGGAATTCCCTCTCTAATTTACAAATTAGTTTTCTGCATACCTAGCAAGTCTCCTAAATAACCTCGTCTGGAGAGGCCTGTTTGCTTGCTAACAAATGACAGACATGGTCACCAAATTCAATCATCAAAATGAACAAGTGGCAAACTTGTAATAACTTGTTGCTGTGCTCCCACTCAGCACTTTCAGCTTAGAGCTCTGGGTGACTTAGGAAAAGATGCCCTGTAGTGCTGTTTGAGGTTCAGGTTGGATGGCAGACCATTCCTGTACTTTTAGTGGTTGCATAAAAGGAGTTTCAGTAAGTTCTACCTGTTGCCTGGTTGTATGACAAGGAACACCCACTTAAAGGTACAAGAGCACAATTATAATGGCTTTCTATGCATGAACAGATATTTGAACCCTGGTCCAATATTCAAACCATTGCACCACACTGGATATCTCCTCTTTCTCATAGTTAGTATAACCCAGAGCTTTCCAAACGTCATGTTAGGAAAGCTCTGTCATTTTGTAACATGGACTTAATTCTCCTAAAAGAAAAAAAGTTTTTAATCAAAGTAAGAAAGGCAATTATGACCTTGTGGCATTACAAGAGACCCATATTTCTCAAAACAAGTAGCCCATCTAACTCAGAAAAGACTAGGCAAGGATTTTTATTCCTCAGCACCAGAGAAAAAATGAGGGGTAGTTATCTATGTGAAGGAGACCCTAGTGACTGAATTGGCTTTCAGAGATTCTGACGGAAGAATGGTGGGGATGCTTATAAAACAGGAGGAACAAAAAAATCTAGTTTGCAATATCTACACACCGAACGGTCCTAAAACATAATTTGTGTCAATTTTGAAAAACAAAATTTAAGAGACAGATTTTGACAATTTGATTATATTGGGAGATTTCAATTGAGTTATTAACAGTAAACTAGACAGGACATTGCCAAGATTTTTGTCATTTATGAGCAACAGTATGTTATTAATACTATTAATGTTATTAATGTTACCAATACTAATGGGCACATTTGCTGTGTAAAAATATATGCAAGCTAGTATTCTTAATTCACATAGGTTGGAGTTTGCCATTGTGTTCGCATGACACACTAAAATGTCATGACACACAATTTGGAAAGTTCTGATCAGGGAATAGATAGATCAATATTTATCCTTTATCTCTTTCTTTCTTTCTTTCTTTCTTCTATTTAATACTTGGAAACTCCATGATTCGGTTGGATTTCTGTAGATTATATTATCTTTGCAGTGCAATCTCTTCTAGCTAAATCTGGCTAAAAACAGATAACTATTCTTGATTAATTTTAAAAGTGTCATGATGTCACTGTTTGTTGCATGAGATTCCTCTTTGTAAAAATTCTGAAATTTTATATAGAAATGCTGTCAAAGTGCAGACAGACTTGTAATTCACAAAGCATACAACTATGATAAAATCCACATCTCAGTGAAAATGATGGCAAAACACACAATTTCAATAGTCAGGATTATTCTGTCAATTCTATTGCTGACAGTAAGAGTCTTCTTGTGTCCATTAAAAGGAGGAAACTGTATGAAGAGAAGTACAGAACAGGAGCTAAAATAAATTTCTAGCCATTGCTCAATTTAGTTACAGATATCTTTTAAAACAGTAATGTGTGACAATGAGTTATGGTTTTAATATATTTTTCTCTACATTTTCATATTATGCTTGTAAGAAGAGAAATTCCATCTCCTACTTCCAGGAATAAAAGTATGCAGCTTCAAAAGAAAAATCTGGAATCGTTTTTACAGCTGGCAAATATAAGCAATCCTATATTGTGTTACTATTACAGACACTGCAACCCTGTGCTAAAGCAGGTCCCAACACAATGAATGGCTTCAATGCAAAGTGAACGTGCATAGGTTTACATCCCTAGTTCCCAAGTGCACATACAGCTTGATGCTGAGCATACAGATTATTTGCATATATGAATAAATAGGATGTTGTTTAGGAAAAATCTAACCGGACTTGTTCTTAGAGCAGTCATAAATTACAAAAACAGGGTTCCTATGTTATGTCACTTGTGAATGAAATTGCTATTGCATCACTACCATCCACATTGTGTGAAGGAAACCTGAGACACATGAAAGCTCAGAAGAAGAATGACAAGGGGAACATGCAAGGGGAACACATTCAATGTGGGTTTACTTATTTATTTATTTAAAGTATATATTTTATACTAAACTGGGATCCAAGGTGGTTTATGATACTTTAAAAATGCTGCTACAAAAATAATTTTATAGAAGTTAAAAAGGAATTAAATATCTCTATTACTAGAGCATGTTTAAAAATAATTGAAAACAATTAAAGAGTGAAAGATTAAAGAATGAGACATTAAAAACAGCATACATATTACATATATATATATATATATATATATATATATATATATATATGAATATGTATACATACATAATCACACAATCATATACCCAGTATTTATACACATAAACACACTAGAGCTCCATAATTACAAATTCAAAGGCCTACTGACATAAAAACATATTCGTCTACTAGTAGAAAGAGAGCAGGGAGGGGCCAACCCATGAAGCAGCCACAGAAGGCTCTCTTTTGAGTCCTCACCATGTCTGCAAAAGTAGTGAAACAGAGAAAACCCACACCTGCAACTCTTAATGCTCATGCTGGCTTATATAAGGTGGCATGTTATTTCATGGTTATTTCATTGTATTGTCGAAGGCTTTCATCGCTGGAGTCACTGGGTTATTGTAAGTTTTTCAGGCTGTATGGCCATGTACTAGAAACATTCTCTCCTAATGTTTCTCCTGCATATGTGGCAAGCATCCTCAGCAGTTGTAAGGTCTGCAAGTATTGTTTGGTACCTGCTTGTGTGACAAGGAAAGAAAAACAAAAGAGGGAAACAAATGCCAATTTTGAGGTACAGGAGTGGGCTAAAAGCAAATCTGGATCTACTGAATAATTTACACCGAAGGTACCATCAAGAGCATCTGACTTTCTATTCCCTAAGTCACTGTTTTATAAACACCTTCTGTGGGTTTCAGGATTCAGGGTTCTGATTAAAAAACCAAAGTGGATAATGCATATCTTTCAAGCCTGGAGCCTGTCCTCCCTGTTGTTAGGCATGCAGCTATGCTTTCGTTAAACATCCTGTGAGTGTTGCTAATATACTGAAAGGAATGAAGTCTTGGGAAACCAAAAAGAGAATTTAAAATAAGTTGCAATGATTTCAAGGTATATTTGATCAAACACAGTTGTGTTTCTGTCTCATCTCTATGTATGATCATTTCAGTGCATTTGAAAACAAATTGTTTATGAATTTAATACACTCGTTTTTTTAACTGTTCTATTATTGAGTATTATTCAGAGAGTGTCTGAATAAATGGTCTCAAGTGTACAACAAAATCCATGTTGTCAAACAGTACCAAAGGAAAGACATTATCTACCTTGACAGTATAAATTTTCAGTTATTTTATATATTTATCTTGTCAGGAGTGAACCAAAACAGTTGTATTTCATTAAAAACAAACAAACCACAAAGTTTGCAGACTTGGTATTCTATTAAATGTCCTTTGACCAGTAGCTGGCCACTTGGAGTGCCTCTGGTGTTGCTGCAAGCAGGTCCTCCATTGTGCATGTGGCAGGGCCCAGGTTGCATTGTAGTAGGTGGCCTGTGGTTTGCTCTTCTCCACACTCGCATGTCGTGGATTCCACTTTGTAGCCCCATTTCTTAAGGTTGGCTCTGCATCTTGTAGAAATTTTCAGTGATCTAAAAAAACAATATGATTTATTTTTATGCTCTATAAGGAGTGTCTATACTTTATTTTCTGCAAGGTAATCTTATTTAATATTTAATTTTTATTCTAATTTTTGTTAATTAAGCTGGCTTTAAAGAAAACTAGTACATAAAAATCTTTTTTTTACGGGGAACACAATACATATGGCTAGCCTCCAGACATACCTATAAAGCAAAACTTGTCACAAATCAATCACAGTTCATAATCCTAATAATTAAAAATCAAACACACAAAGGAGATTCATATTATTGATTATCTAAAACAGATTTCCACCAAACTTTACACAGGGTTTTTTTCCCAGCCTCATTTACTATGAAGTTGGGTAAAATGTTAAGATGTTCACCAGCATTTTAATGCAAAGTCCAGCACCACTGAATGAGAATTACCAGGACAACTCTTGTTTTTCCTCAAGCTGGCAATTGTTTTTAATTGCTCAAAGCAGCAAAATGATTATTCAAAAGAGCTGAAAAGAGGATCAATAATATATTTACACAGGTATGTATAATCAAATTTTGCTATCCTCATAGATATAATCACAATTCCCAGAATTCCTCACCATGGTCTATGCTGGCTGGAAGTGATGGGAGCTGAAATTCAAAACATTTGGAACATTGAAAAGGGTTGTCATTTTTTTCAATTTAAACATTATGGCTGGAGATCATAAAAGGAAGAACAGCATAGAATAGGAAAAAACAGGCTTATTTAAAAATAATAAAATTAGATATGAAGAAGTGAAAATGAATCCATAGACATCAGCAAAAGTCAACTAAATGCCCGTAGAAATATCCACGTGAAGCATTTGTCTATACACCACGCATTTAAATATTGAAAGGTTTGAAAGGTCTCCAGTTCATCTAATCATAGATGGTAGCCTAAACTCTGATCATTTCAGAGACTTAACATTCGTATGATCTTGTTAACAGTGTTTTGATGTGAATGGCACTGCTCAGTTTGTAAAAGATAACCTTCTGAACCTTTCCATTGTTTTGATTATATTACAGGCCTATTCTGGTTACCTTTACAAATTGCTTTTATTTTGTTGCTGTTGTTCCATTAACAACGCATTTTAAATTAAAGAAGCACATCTCAAAAATTGAAAATGAATATTCCTTTTCAAATGCTCACAATCTTAAGTATCAGTGAAACAGAAAAGGAGAGGGGTGGGAAGGAAAGAAAGAAAGATTACAATATGCAAATGTTATATATAATTGATAAAGCACAGTGGTTTCATAAAGAAGGCAAAAAGTGTTTCATATCAGTGGCTTTTTTCTCCTCCTTTAATGTTTGTATTTTGTTCTGTTCTGTCTTTGTAACAAGTGAAGCACATAAATACTAGAAGAGGAAAATAAAAGGAAAAGAGTTAATATGTTTTATTTTTTAAAGGAGAAACTATTCTATAGACAACAGCAGGGGAAGGAGTATTCCAGACACAAAGAGAAGTCAACGGAGCCGAGGAAAACCAACAAAGTGATAAAAGTCAGACAAAGAAAACAGGTGAACTGAACAGCAGGGGAAAAGGTACAGACCAAGACAGACAATCCCTCGGGGCGAAATTGCCAATGTTAAATGTATGACACGCAACTGAGCCCTTTATTTCTGTTTTACTTGCAGGCAAATATGTGGGATGCCAATCTGGATCAAACTCTCAAGTGCAAGCAGAAGAAGTTTAAATAAATCTGAAGTTTTAAGTTGAACATTTTTTAAAAAAAAGAAAACTTAATAACAAAAAATTGTATACAGGGTACCCCAAAAGTAACAAACCACTTTAAATTACCACATGTTCTAGGTTATTTTGAAACTTGTGGAATTTGTAAGTAAAAAGTAGAATGGTCCTGTTCTGGACATCATGTCTTTCAGTATAGACTGGCCTGTATCTCCACACCATAACAAACACTCAGCAGACATGTTTTGGCAACATAGTTGTTGTATCTCACCCTGTCATATGTGAATTTGCTAGAGGTATATGTGAGGAACAGTGCTACATTTAGACGGCAATCCTAAATATGAATGCACTAGAATGGACGTATTTTGAAGAAGGCATGCACTGTTTAAAGAATCTGGAGAGAAAGGGGGAGAAATGGGAGAAAAGACTGTGCATGTACATTATTTTGAGAGCTCCAGTGATGCCCGATTTAAAGAAATAAAATGAGAAATGAATGGGAGAGGAGATGCTAGAGCAAACCAGAGTTCAATGCACACTAGAAGCCAAGATAATTATACTGAGGTTGTTGTACTTTGGACATGTTGCAAGAGAACATAATTCATTGACAAATGCAATAATGCATGGTAAAGAAGAAAGCAGTAGGAAACGAAAAAGATTACATTGTGGATGAGTGGATTTAATCAAAGAAACCACAGCCATGGATCTGCAAGACCTTAACAGGGTAGCTGAAGATTTGAAAGGTATCTCGTTGATAACTGAGCTGCGGTTGATGGTTGTCATATGTAGAAGATGACCTGAGAGCAAACAACAACAAAGAAGAGAAATGAATGAAGGCAGGAAGGATGATGAGGCAAATAGTCCAATTTATTTTCCTTGCTCTTCACTAGTGACCATAAATCTTCAAAAGAGGTATAATATTTTAGGGAGAGAGGTTTGTGACTGTTCCCTGCAGGCTATGGTAACAAGGATTGATTGAGAGGGCAATTCAAAAACATTTAGAGGGACAATTATTTCTTGATGGTCAGTGTACCCAGAACAGGATGAAGTCTACTAACTGAATGTTTCAAACCATGACCCACATTTTAAACTGGCCAGGAAATGTACACCTGCCAAATGTCCTGGAAAGTCCAAGGTCTCTTGCTAAGTGGGACTGATGGAAGCTGCAGGTCAAATAATCTGGAATGTGACAAACCTTGAAGCCAATTTTCTGCCACTGTTATAACAATATTATATCAATGTATGCATGTTAGGTCTATGAGTGGCTACTAGCAGTGCAGTTTTAATAAGAATTGTGTTATTGTTGTTTTGCCTTCAAATTGATTCCAATTGATGGATTTCCTTGGCCAGATATATTCAGATGAGATTTGCCACTGCCTTCCTTAAAAGCAAAGAGAACCTGTCCTAAGAAGGGATTCAGATCCTGATTTCCCAGAGTCCTAGTCCAATATGTGGTCTCACATTACAGCACCCTAGGCTTTGAAACCACCGCAATGGTTAACAGATACAGACAAAATGCAAGAAGTTATGATTTCTGTATTGCTTGGTTTGGGATGTTCTGAATCACTAAAGGAGACAAAAAAACTCAACCATATAGATCTTCAGATTTTAGCAATACAATTTTAATGTTTCTGTAATGGCACTGACAATCTTTGTCTCAGGGAAGTCATTTGCTTGGATTTACTCTATGCACCCATATATTTTAGGATTACCAGAACTAGTCCTACCATTACACAGAGCAAGGTGACTGCTTCTGACATCAGATGCTGGATTTCAGGTGTTTTTCTCATGGGTTTTCCTGTTGCGTGGACCTCTGTTATTTAATCCTTGAACCTTGATATGAATAAGTGGGTGGGCTGGGCTTTTTTGCTCTGTCTTGGGCAGCCAAATGTTTGATGTGGGCCCTGAAAAATACACTTCTTTAGCAAAAGGCAGTTTTTCATTTAATATCCCACTTCATTTACATCTCAAGATATTTTCTGCTTTTCAGTGCTAGACTGCTGTAAACTGTTTGCATCATGCCACCTCCTCAGAACTAATTTAAGAAGTGTTATTCTCAGCTCATACTAACTGTGAGAACATTAACATTCTGCCTGTCTTTCTGCCAGAACAAAGATATAGAATATTCCCTGGATAATCACTTGCTTAAAGAATTCAAACGTAGAGACCAAAAATAGTCAAAATAAGATATCTGTTTTAACAGTGGCTGTTGAAGACACTTCACCTACATAAGTACTCAAGGAGGTGACCAGGTGAAATATGGATAGGATTCTGGCTCCTCTAATAAAGACATTTCAGCAGTTGCAGTTTACATAACATGTTATGCCTGAATACCTTTGGTACCACAAGCTAGTTTAAGCATTGTGTTATTTAACTGAAAAGTGCTTCCTGTCTCGTACTCTGTGTGGTTAAATGACAGAAGCAAAAACTGGGGAGAAACCCATAAAATGTTTGGAAGAAACCAGAGACATGTCTCAAGGTGCTCAATTGATGGGTGCTTTATTGGTTTAAAAATATAGCCATATAATGGTAATCTTCAGATTTAAATAAGGTTTTTCATGTAGGTTAGCTGGTGCCAGGCAACCACAGTTTTAGATGTAAACATATTAGAGATATATGGTATTTTTCTCCCACTTACCTTGTCCCGAGAATTGTTCCAGCTATCAGACAGAAAGGAGGAATGTTCTTCCCACTCCTAAATCACTGGTTAATGTGCGGCAATTTTCTTTTTGACGCTCTGATTGGGGGGCCATCCATACAGTACCATTATTGCAGTATCTACCTCAATAAAGGAGGGGCTGTCCAGAAAACGTTCTGGACAGTCCTGAATTAATTTGCTACAAACAAAGAAAACCCTGGTTTGCAGTGAATTAATTAGATAGTGGGTTTATTCTGCGCCTTCTTGGAAGGCACTGGATAAACCCACTATTTATGGTTCTGGACTACAGAATATCACAGTCCAGACAGTATTCTCACAGTTTACCGAGCTCAATAAGCCCCGTAAACTGTGGGAATATACATCCCCCCTCTACTGAAGCCCCCAGACCCATTAGAAAAGTAATAAAAACTTACCCAGTCTCCATTAGAAGCGTCGGTCGGCTCTCCTGGTGCATAGAAATAACATACTAGGAGAGCGGGGAGTGGGGGGAAGAGGGAGGAAAATCACTCCCCCCCCCGCTCTCCTGGCATGTCATTTCTATACACCGGGAGAGCTGGCTGAGGCTTGTAATGGAGGCTGGGTAAGTATTTATTACTTTTCTAAGGGGTTCGGGGGAGGGGAATAGGGCCCTCTCCCCTGAACTAGCCAAAAGATGTTTTCTTTGGCTAGTCCTGAGAGAACGTCTGGACACCCACCCCAGAAAGTGTTCGTTTTCTGATGTGGGTGTGGACAGGCCCACAGGTAAATCCACGTTTTTTAAACATGGATTCTCCTGGAAGAAAGGCCTGTCTATATCTGGCCTTAGAGAATAGGGTCCTGGGAATCATCACTATGAGACCTTTCCGGTGTTGCATTGAAGCATTGAAGTGAACACTGAAGCGATGCTCCAATGCCATCAACTGCGCTGGACTGGCCACATTGCTTGAATGCCTGATCACCATCTGCCAAAGCAGTTACTATACTTCCCAACTCAAGATTGGATAACATAATGTTAATCAACAGGAAAAGAGATTTAAAGATGGGCTTAAAGCCAACCTTAAAAACTGTGGCATAGACACAGAGAACTGGGAAGCCCTGGCCCTTGAGCACTCTAACTGGAGGTCAGCTGTGAGTAGCAGTGCTGCAGAATTTGAAGAGACACAAATGAAGGGCAAAAGGGAGAAACCTGCCAGGAGGAAGGAGAGTCAAGCCAACCCTGACTGGGACCACCTTCCTCCTGGAAACCGATGTCTTCACTGCAGGAGAACATGTGGATCAACAATAGGATTTCACAGCCACCTACAGACCCACTGCCAAGACACTATATTTGGAGGACCACATGTTTTGTTGTCAAATCAGAGTGCCCACAATGGTCAGGAGCTCTGCAGTGGTAACATGGCCCCAATTTGTTCCTGTTTCTCTGAGAAGTACAAGGAAAATGAGATAATGAAGTGGACCATCATCCTCGGGCTACAACAGATCACCTAAGTAAATAAGTAAGTTGCAATCTGCCTTACTGTCTGATACAAATGTAACCTGTGATGATGAAACTACAAAACACAGTAATATTTCGCACTAAATATTTATACTACTATCAAGAAATATTTTTTCTGACAAAAATAATTAAGCTACTTCTGTTATTTCAAGGTACACATTAATTTGGAATATACAGGCTAAAGCAAGTAACGGGGTTACAATTTAATTCAAATAAAATAAGCTTGAAAATGTGTTCTGCACAAGTAAAGAATAATAGGCTTGACAGACTGTCATGATGAAAATTTAATTTGCAGCTGTCTCTTTTAATCACAGGCTGTACACAGAGTGTTCTGGGAGATTTGTTTTTAAATTGCATTAGCAAAACTTCATAAAACATTTTATCAGTCACGCCATTAGACATAGCAAGGCAGCTGCATCAGACGGCAAGTGGTCAGTAGCAGCGGCAGCATTCCTTTTCAAACCCCCCCCCCCCCCATATCTGTTGAATGATGGAACCATACATCTCACATGATTTGTCCTAGGCCCCAAAATGTTCTTGCTGCTGTGGGTGTGGAGGATAATATTTTTTTTGTTTGATGCTAGTCCACACAGCTTTCATAGAAGATGTGAGAAGGTGCCATGTTTTCTTGTTAGACACAAAATGGTTTTTACCCCTGTTTGCAGTAGTCACATTTCCCCTGCTCCTGCTGCACTTTGTAATTTCATTTCATCAGACCTAAACAATATCATGAACATTAAGAATGTGTTGGACAAGATAAGAAAAAGTTGCCATTGTTTTAATTTTGGTTGCATATGCATTGGAGCTTCCCTGTGAGTTTTACCCACAGTATTCATTTATTTACATTTCTAGCTTTTCCTTCATGGAGGTCAAGAAAAAATGGGGTTTAATTACAGTGGCTCCTTCTTCTGGAGTCCAGATGGTCCAGCTGAGCTGAGATAGTTTTGGCCTTGCTTGATTGTCTCCTTACAGTTCCTGTTGCCACTGCTATCAACAGAGGTACACAAACAATCCCTCCTGTTTCTCTGGGAAGTACAAGGAAAATGAGATAATGAAGTGGCCCATGTGAACAGTGGACCCAGACCTGCTATTCATACTGTGCAGAAGCCACAGGACACACCAGAGTTCTGGCCAAACTCCAAAGCATTTCCAAACTTCTCTCAATAGCAACAACAAGAACAACAACAACAACTATATTTTTAACCTGCCCTCTTTCCCCGAAGGGACTCAGAGTGACTTCCATAAACAAAAATGGCAAACATTCAATGCCATGTACAGTATAAAGTGCAAACATTTAAAACATACATTTAAAATGGAATTAAATGTGGAGCTAAATTGGGCTAGCCCAATTTATTTGTGATTAGGTTGAAAAATGAAACAACATGAGGACAGCCAAGAGCGACTACAAGATGAGTGTGGGCTATTAAGCATATGTAGACAAGTGCACACACAATTCTCCCTTCATGTGATCATTTTCAAAAACTGTTGAAATAGGTTAAACTCGTGAATTGCATTTGCTTTGAATTCTTAAGTAGATCTGTGACCACTCACTAGTATAACAGAACAGTTGCTTGTGGAGTGGCTGAAAGATTACTGGTTTTGGGAAACATAATATAACTACAACCAATTTTGCAATTCATCTCAGAGGAAGAGAAACAGTTTGAAATTGCAATGCAGAAGTTCTCTTTTTATTCTTATGTTTAGAAATTGTGCTGGCAGGAATGTACCCGCCAGATGCATACTTTAACAAATAATATGACATTTACCATGCTGTATTATATGGCTATATGTGTACATATATTAAAATAATTATAGTACAATAAAACAGTGTAGAAAGCAATGTTTGGCAAACATAATTTTGGGCTCCAGGAAAACACACCTATTAACAGGCATAATTTCTGATTTTTGCAAGATTTAATACAGAGAGCTGTGAAAAAAATTCAGAAATTCTAACATGCAAGAAGCTGACTACAATAGTGATGTCGAACAAGAATTTGGGGATCTTTGCCAGGAGGCAGAGACCAATCAGACCCATCAAAGAGAGTCTGTTCACCCTGGCGAGACAGAAAAGAAGCACCCAAAGATTTCCCCCTGATTTTTCCCAATAAAAGTCTCACTAAGTTGAAGAAAAGCCACCGAGTTGTTTTTATTTCATCCCAGCTGGTACGAATGTCCAACCGCAATCCCTTGCCAAAGCTGACATGCTTGGTAGGGGAAATGAGTACAATTTTATAGGAATACAGAACTGTCAAATTCAAACTTCCCGCCCCCTGCCGGTTTCACACTGATTGGAGTCATCAGCTGGAGGGGAGCCGTGGCTGGCTCAGGCGCACCTTAGCCAATGGGAAAGCCAGCGCCGCTTCAGCTTCTCAGTCAATGAGGAGCGAGGAAGCTGTGCAAGTGGAAAACAATGAACCGAGAGAAAAATGAGTGGATTAATGGGACTTAATGTGTTGTCCGATTGCCGGCGATAATCCAGAGATTCCTCAAGCTGGCCTTGTATTGTCTAATGGGGGTGAAATATACAAAAGTGGCTGGCGTGGATGCCAAGCCCTGGTAATCTCTAGCCCGGAGTATGGGATCAGTTGATGCTATCTGGTTTTTGGTTTCAGCCATGGGTGTGAAGAAAATGGGTGAGGCAGATGGGGCATCCAGATCCCCCTGAAGGCAAGATGTCCCTTTGTTGATGAGTGATTGTGTCACCATGTGGTGCTTC